ATTTTCTAGGATCAGAAACTGACCTAACATCAGAAACGACTTTTGTAAGATCCCATTCGATTTTTCAACCAATATTCACAAAGACATGCATTTTAACATTGCATCTTATTACAAATGGGAAAGGCAGTCTTTTTTGGGGGTTTTATTTGGCAAACAATCCATATAACGTAAGGTTTAAGAACATGTCTCAATAGAAGGAGAGGAAAATGTTGCAAATAGTTTAGAATGCTGTTAACCCTAGCTAAAGGCTCACGATTGTGGCTACTGTAGCTTGATGTTTATGCAGCCAGCTTGAGCCTTAAAATGACAGAATGTGAAAACAGAAGGGTCATTTTTATATAACTTAAACATTTTAACATCAGGTCTTAAAGTATATGCAAAGCTATTGTATATGCATGTACTTGTTTAAGGTGACCAACTGTTTTTTTCTCCACCAAAACAGGCATTTATCCTATCTGTGATCTAAACCAAATGTAACGTAAAGTGATCCCACTATGTGTTGTTGGAATCTTTTAGGAAATAGTTTGACGATTATAAGGATAGATTTGTGAATAGCAACTACATTTGACCTGAATTTGTGACATTACATTTTAATCTCGTCCCTTGACTGCAGGGACGAGAACATTTATTCTATCTATTTGTTTGCCTTTTTCAGAAAACTGCTTACTCAAGCGTCAAGGAGCATAAGAAATAAATCACATCTGAAATCCCATTTTATCCATCAACCAATATTTACAACAACAAAAAGATGGAGAAACTACCCAGAAGACATCTCCAAGGCCCAGCATGGAAACAGATCAGGCCAACATATCCGTTCTCTCACAGATGCAAGATCGTATTTTGGCTGGAGGAAGCACTAACCTGATGAAAAACCAAAGCAAATGGACCTTTTTTAATACGGCGACAATTAATTATGGAAGACGGCTTGCAATGAAGCCAGCCACCTCACACTCTGCAATCAACATTCCCATCATCACGCAAATAGGAAAAAAATTATGCTAAATATAATAACAAAAAGCTAACTCCCATATGTCCATGCTCCCACGAATCAATTCTATACAAACCTTGATATTTGATTGTCAATATAACTAGGCAAGTACAGACAGAACATGTGTGTGTGTGTGTGTGTGTGTGTGTGTATCTCAGAATGTATGTGCGTGTTAATATTTTCCTTGATAACTGTGGCAGCAATAGGAGATTAATTATTAATTATAGAGTCAATCAATGACTCAGCTGGCGGTCCATATGTGTGTACATGTGAGGCTTTTAACACGTTGAAATGAAGTGTGCAATTTCCAATCTTCAAGGGTGTTGTCGCAAATCATTTGAAGCTATTGTACATTTTCGAGCTGAAAGCAAACAGGGGAAAAGTCACCTTAATAATTGCTACCCAGACTGTAAAACTTCTGGCTTGCATGTGTTTTATATGGGCTGCATATCACAGAGTGAGCAAACAGAGACTAAGGCTTCTATAAATCTCAGTAAAACACAAATAGATCTATTCGGCTGGTGGCCTTTCACACACAGGGACAAAGGTTGCAATGCATTCCTTTTGCACTTTTCTCTCTGGATTTTTTTTTTAGCTTCTGTCTTCTACTGGAACATTGGCCAAATACAACATGATTCTGGTCTATTCTTACTTCACTTCCTTTAGGAGATGTAGAAAGCATGCAATCTATTAAGGCTGTTATTTTCACGTCATCTTGTCTCAAATGTGTACGTTGAAAATACACCCTTCAACATTTCCTTTGTAAGGCAGCTTTAAACTGCTCCCCCCTTTCTTTGGTGTTCGGTCAGTTTTAACTGCTCCAAAAACCATTAATCATCACTAACTTGTATTGTACCCGTTCAAGCTATACACACTGTCTTAGACTACTGGTTTACAGATGCTGTCACTGCAGTGAATAAGCAAAAAATAGACACTGAAAATGAATCCCAAAATTAACATGGTTGTCGATTTGTTGGTGTGAACTATCTGATGGATGAATATAATCTAGGTTGGTTTACCCATTCAATTCCTATGGTTCATTTTTTTGACCAGGAAAAACACAGGTATTACAAAGATGAAGTGCTGATCAGCAATTGTATAAATATTATGTTGAAATGCCTACAGTTGAGTCATAAGTCCTTGAGTCAATCAAATCTAAAACACAATATTTGTGATTGATGACAGTAGTAAATTGGTCAGATTTGACTCGAACATGACAGGAGTGTTGAAGATTTGTTTTGTGGCGATAACCCCCTAATCCCACCAGGAGCGTCTGCGCTGCGTTGCGCTGCGTTGCGTTGCGCTGCGTTGCGCTGCGTTGCGCTGTGTTGCGCTGCGGCTGCGGCGTTTTTAGCGATCGCGGCCACTCTAGTCAATGAGTGCTATTCCACCAGACCCGCTGCGCCGCGCTGCGCCGCGGCTCGAAGCGTCCCAGAAGCTCCTCGCCGCAAGGAATTTCTAAAATATAGGATGAATCCTATTTTTGACGGGGCGCAGCGCGGCGCAGGCAGGAAGTGGAACGTTCATCCAACAACTGCGAGGCTGCACACACGACGCTCCGCTTCCGCAACGTTTTGAAACGCGCCTGGTGGGTTATGACGCAGGAGGAGGTCGCAGCGCGGCGCAGACGCTTCCGGTGGGATCAGGGGGTAACATGACATAACGAGGGAGATATTTGACGTACATTTACGTACTGATTCATTTTAGTCAAGCTTTTAGTTTGTCCTTGGTTATGATAGTTGAATCGCTGATGCTAGCCTGTTTTAGTGAAAAGAAGTACCCACTTCAAACATAATGAAATTGAGTACATTACTTTTTGTGCCTCACTGCAAATGTGCAGCAAGAGAAAGGAAGTGTCTCTCTGTGCTTTTACAGCATTATGTTCACTCTCTACATTCAATTACCAGTGACCTCGGGGCGAAGTTCCGTTTAATGCAACAGTCCGACTTCATCTGACATATTTTACTTTAACACCCTTGTCAGTCTCAAACCGCCCAATGATAAAAAGGTCGGTCCACTTTTACAGACATTCTCCCTTTTTTGCCTTTTTCTCATCTTGTCTTCTCAACCCACTCTTTTCCATCGGCTCAGATTAAAGTCAAACTGGTCTGTTTGCTCATTATCATAAAATAATGGGATGTGGAGATTGAGCAGATCCTGGCAAGACTTGACCCCGAAATACCACCAAAACCTGCTTCGTCAGTCATTTCTTCTTTTCATGCCAAGTTCTTTACTTTCTACCCCTTATCTTCTTATTTCAGACTTTTTACCTGTCTTTACCTCCCACTTCCTTCCTTGCAAAAATAGGTTATGATCGCATATATTTCCATCGCATTTCACGCAGAAAAGGCCCTCTTCATTACATCAAACACTGATTAGCTTTCTTACATCCCACCCACCCCTTACCGAAAGCAATAGAGAACCATTAACTCCACAGAGTATTTCCATTCCCTTGTGATGTGTTTACAGTGGCTGTGGGTGGGGGGTGGCAGATTTCCTTTTGTTTTCCCTCCTCTCCCATTCTCTCCCCAGCCATCACACCTACGGATGATGCCTCATCCAGTGATATCAGGCACCCAACACTTAACAGTAAGAACAAGGAGCCCTGTCAGGCGTGTAATTCCTCCTGTTGGCATTAGTCTAGAAGCCTATAGATGGCTCTCTGCTCAGTCACAGTTGCCGTGTTAAAGTGTTTTTCAAGCACAATTTGACTCCTTTTCAAGTGTGTGCTCATCAGAGACATCTGGTTTTTATCAGCGACAAGCAAATCCATAAGCAACCTGAAAGGAAAGCACACACGAAAAAACCACAAGCCTGAAATGGACATGCTAACAACGGGAAAATTGAGAAATGTGTTAAGTGGGTGAGTTCTTCCTTTTTTGTGGGGCAGGAGAGCAATTCAAGGAGAGAAATCTCTCTTTTCATAGGAGGAGACAGTGTGCCTTTCAGGCCTAGACACGGTCGGGTTCACCAGTCTCCCAGGATAGATGAGGACAGCACTGAACAGTGGCCCTGTTGTGGCTCTATACAAACTCTAAGAATCTGGCACTTCTGCCTAACACTGGCAAGTGGCAATGCGAATAACAACGGTGATTCACATATTTTCCCCCCCATAAAGCTTTGCTACAAGACCACCTTCTTGCAACTGGAGTGGGTTTCTCCCTGGCTCAATATAAAGTTATGTTTAAATAACACCTATGCCAGCCTACCCTTGGGCCAATATGATTGCATTTAAAATGTTATTTGTTTTCTTCCAGGGCATTTGGCAGATAATCAGAGCATCCACCGACAGCCCCACAAGGCTGCCCTGACTCATGTGCCCTATTCCAGGGTTACTGCTTGAGGCTGAAATGTATAATTATGAAATCACTGAGACTTTTTATTTTTTTGAGCAAGCGAGCTGGGTTTTGTGTGCCTCCCTGGTGCTTGGGAAACGGTGCTGCGTGCACACATCAGTGTTAGAGATCTGATCCTACAGGCAAGGATGCCAATACACCCTAAGGAATATAGATTAGATATGTTTGTTGGGAAAGGCAGATAGAGGGTGGCTGTATTGGGGTGGGGGGGGGGGAGTGGAGAAGTGAGGCAAGGAGTGAGGAAGGGCGGAGATGAGTCTGATTGTGCTCATGTATGTACTGACAAGGCATGACAATCAATATGGTGTATGCTTTTCCTGAAAGCAGCTGGAGATGGTTTGTTTATATGCATGAGTCATGGTCGTGCATGACATGAGTGACTGTGTGTGTGTGTGTGTGTGCGTGTGTGTGTGTGTGTATTTGTGTTTCTATGTGAGTTTGTACTTGTATTATGGTCAAGCCTCAGAAAGCAATACATGTACAACAGCACAGCAGATGTGTATCCAGGTCGAGCACACTGCTGTTATGTTATTTTCCAGAAAAGAAACAAAACACATTTGCAGAAAATATCCACAGGTAGGTGATGTATATGTTTTATATGTTATATTCATACATCCAAATTCGATACAATAAAATGCATGATGTCAACAACTCACCGCGGTTTGGAACAGCAGGTAAAGTTGAACTCAGTATTTCCCATTATCTTGCTGAATCTCGGTGGATCTCAACTGCCGATATTGTAAACTCATGTCACAGTTTATGAGGATTCAACAGCAACTCCGCGGAGAGAGGCAAAAAACAGCACTCCAAAAAACACTAGTACACACTCAGGGATCTGAGCAGAGGGAACAGTGATCGGTGCTGAAGGCTGCTCCGGAGCAATCCGTCGCACTGGCGAGAAACTTTGACTTTCGCTTGGGGGGTGAAAAGTCGTCTTATCCCAGTGTAATTCAGTTCCTGGAAGCAGAGGCTTTGACCTTTCTGGGGGATAATGACTTTACAAAATGAAATCATCCAGCAGGAGATGTAGTCAAGAGGAGAGACGAGGAGAGAGAGGAGGAGGAGGAAGATGAGGAGAGAGACTCAAGGAGCGCAAAGGGGCTGTCGGTTACAGGACTAAAACGACGCGTCTGCGCATTTGTTTCAGCCAAACACCGGCGGGGTCCAGCCTCGGACATATGCGACGGAATGCAGCTAGTAGGACGCAGAAAGACACCCCATGAAGACTGTTAAATATCCCGTTATGAATTCACCCCCAGCGGCGTTTTTCTCCCCAACTTGTCCCGCCTACTGCGCATCGCTGTGTGGAGGAGCGCAGGAGCTATGGAAGCTGGATGTACGCGCCCCAGCAGGGTATAACAGCCATGGACGCCTGAGCTCTCTGTGTTCCCTCTCTCCCATTCAGTCACATGTTTAAGACACAAGTAACCCTCTGTACTAGCCGCCAAAGGAGTATAGACTAACGTGGGCGACGTGGGGAGAATTCTAACAAGTTAACAGTCTCTCCTTTTCACTTTAAATTAAAAGCGCGGGTGCGCACTAAGCGAAATAGCACTCTTATCATTAACTGTATGCCCCATAGTTCTTGTCGCAGTTATTTATAAAAGGAGCAATGGGAGTTATTGAATATCCTTATTACTGCTCATGGTCCGGTTCAAAAAAGCGTCCTCCAGAGAGGATAACAACATGTAAATCCTGATCTGTGAGAGCTGTCACATTAGACAGAGAGGAGCGAAGGTGCTGAGCATAATGCTTAATCCTCTTTTGGTTTTGTCTTGTGGAGCATGTCGATGCATGAGCCATGAGTCATTAAGTGGCACTACAAATGCTGCTCTGCTAAAAGCCCCATGCAGCAGACAGGTTACTAAGTGAACGAATACGCTGACATTTTCATAATGACTATGGCAGCACACATTATAGTGCTGTTAAACTGTATGCTAATGCTACTTGGATCAATTCATATTTTATAGATCCGAACTAGTGTAAGAGAAGGGTTTGAACTCAAAACAGACACATTTCTTAGATTTTTGCTTTTAAAATGTACATTTTATTTCAGTTTATTTTATTTACTCTAATATATATATATTTGTTAATCAAATGCAATCACCTTTTGGCTTTTCGGAAACACTGATCAACATTTACCAACTTTTTCTGACATTTTGTTCAACAAATTATCAATGAGAGTTAGTAATTGACAGATTAATAACCATACAAATAATTGATGTTCAATCCAATATCCTGAGATTTTATAGAACAATTGATCAGTTAATTAAGAAAATAAGACTTGAATCCCCCTTATAGCCTATACGTTTTATAATGTTGTTATGCAGATATCACAGTATCTCATGTGTGCAGGATGACCAAGTGCATTGTGATAAGTGTTTGTAGGGAACACCTGTCCAATGTACCAAATGATGAAATTCAAATGCTATTTTGTTGTGATTAGTGTTTTCATGCGGACAAATGCAGGCTTGTTATACATACTGGAACTGTTGAGACATGTATCTAATGTGAAGGATTGGGGTGCTGCATCAGTACACTGTGGGTGGTGTCCATAGCCCATTTGTTAATTCTATATTCTTCCAGGGCTACATAAAAGACACTATATCTACCCAGAAACAGCATCAATTAATCTGTGGAAGCAATCAGGTCGTGGAATTCTACAGGCACAGCAGCCTCAGTGTGGTGCTAATTAACCCAGTTCCCCGTGCGTTTCAGCGTCCATTTAGTATGCTGTGCTGTCCTGAAGCTGTCCGTGCTCTGAAGTTGATTTATGACGCGTCCCAGCAGAGATTTGTGCCAGATTCGGTGTGACAAAGACTCCGTTCTATATTCCTAACTGTCAATTCTGATCAAGATGTTGGCGCCAAAAACATCTTGTTGAGAAAGTGTCATTCATTTAACCGTTTCCTTAAGTGTATTCATCCATCCGCGTGCAGCTTTAGAGAAACAACAGCGCTGTTCCCATCCCGTTCCATGTATCATTCTTGTTAAAGCTTTCCAGTTCTGCGATTGTTGTTGTCGGTGATAATCTTGTGGACAGGCGTGATGTCCGTGGTGCTGAATAACCATCAACAAGCTGTTTGGAACATCTGGGATCATCAAGGTTTAACTTTTCGATTAAAAACTGTTCAAATGGAGCTTTGGATGAATGATTTTAAGTGTTTATCCATGCCTTATCAAGAGTGCTCTCCTTACATAACAGCAAACAAAACATGATAATTACCAACCACTTAATATGATTGTGTTTTGTTTGACGAAAAACTCCCCCAGTCAACACTTTAACAACGGAAACACCTTTATCTCTTCACATTTCCTTTTCTTCTTGGCCACAACCCGCTAAGAACTGTAATTCCATTAATTTAACCATTAACCATTAATGACAGCCATTAGCATATTAATGAGCGATGTTCATGAAACGGATCTCCATCATGTTTGGTGGAACTGGAGCAACCCAGTGGATTTGCCGCTGCAGCGCCTGTGATGAGCTAGGCTGTGTAACTCATTTACACCTTAAGCACAGACTCATTAGGGACCTTGGGAGTGCTACAGAGAGCGTCACTTTTATTTGAGCCCTGTGACTTGTCTGGACGGGTGCAGAACATGTTCCACCAACAGGAAGGCTGTTATGTGAAACATTTTGACTTTCGTTTCCAAAGAAGAGTTCACGTCCATGTAAAATATGAGTAATGTCTGATTCAGACAAATAACCTTTCAGTGGTCGAGGCAGTTTGGTTTTGCTTGTTTGTTTTTACATTTCTGACAATACTTATGCACACAACGGGATTTGCATTTTCTCCCCATTCTCTTCTCCATCTTAGGGGATCTCATAACGTCGCAGGATGCCTGACAGTCAGGCTCCATCGGACTCTTAAGGCAATTCCTCCCCAGTCACACACAAGCTGAACCCCTCTATAATTTGACCTTAGCCATCTCCAATACCCCGCCGGCTGCAATGGAGGACAGTTGATTCAGATAGCTCCATTCTGCTGGGCTTGTGAAATGCATTTAGGTCTGTTCAACTAAAGGCCCATTCATTTTGGCTCCATTTCACCGTCTATCATTTCCCCAAGAATACCATCAGACCGGCAGTTATCTATTCTATATTTAAAGCAGCCAGGATTATTTGGTGCAGGGGATGAATATACCTCATACTTCATACAGATTACCTCAAGCTATCTTGTGTTACCTTCCATCTATTGCCGCACTACAGATTCAGTATTAGAATATAAGCCGGCGCCTGCGGTATCATACCCTGTTTGTTATGCTGTATGCTTATCACAGCTTACCCAGGACAAAAGGTTCACCAACAGAAGGAAGTTTTAAAAAGCTCAGAGGCAAAATGTTACTTTACATTTTTTGTCTGATCACAGAGCACATTCTGCTACAACACCTCTTAACTTTTTGAAAAGTTGAGCAGCAATCACCATTATTCATAAAAATCTCAAGAAGAAGCCCATTGACACGGCTTCTTACTGGGCGCTGAATAAGACTTAATGGTGTTCAGGGTTAATGTGTTAATCTACTGGTTCTGCTCATATCATAACCAGTTCCTAAATCACCCTGCTGTTGTTCCTAAATCACCCTACTGTTGTACTCATAATACCATTAAGAATAACATCACTTTGTGTAATGGTGAATACGAGGCTTCGTGATGACCCTGATGAGAGAAGGAATTAAGTTGATACCACAGGCAGTGTTATAAAAGGTGAGATAACCTTGTTTTGGGCTCAAAGCAGCGACGGTAATACTGCGATAGTCATCAGTGATTTCATTCAAGATATGTATCATGGTATGACAGCTTCAGTGCTTAACAGTGTGTCTGCTAACTCGGTGGGATTTCAGGATTGATAAAGCAACTGTGGAGGGGGATGAGGAAGGTAAGCTGCTTTGTTTACACTTGAGTAAACACGGATCACATTTGCAATATCAGTGCTATTCTTCACATATGATGCCATACATCTCCAGGCTTAGAGGACTTTAGTAAAGTTTTAACTGGAAATGCAAATGTTCTTTCTGCGGTTGGAGAAGTAACACAAATAAGTTGTTTGCACAAATCCCTGGACAGACTGAAAGAAAAATGATTTAACAGTTAAAGTACCCTTAGGTGATGCACTGAACTTCTTACCATCTCTGTTAAGCTGTTCATTGGCCAACAAAACAACAATATAATAAACATGTGACGAAGAATTCCCACTGCAAACGCTCCCTTGTTTTTGCTGCAATGTATTATTTTTCAAATGTCTAGTTGAAAACTTACAAAAATGTAAAAAATAATTGTGGTCTGTAGCCCAGTGTCTATGCGTCTTTGTTGTTACACATTTCAAAACGGCAGATATTATCAGTCAGTCCTCTTCCAGGAAAATACATGGGTTATTGAGAGGCGAGATATGGATAGACCTGTGTTCATTTCTACTTTGAGTATGTGTAGGGAGGGAGGAAGCCTATCATTGAAACCCACTGAACAGATAGGTTGGAGATTTATCAGAAATGATATAGTGAATGAGAAGGCTTCTCCATTACCCATCCATCACAGATGATGTATTGCAAATAAACTACTAGGCCGCAAGAAGCTCTTGCTGAGGGGCTGACCTCCTTGATGAAAGCAACAACTCCCCCATGGCCATCCCTGTATACACTGCCTCCTCTTTTCAATACAACAGCAGAGCTTGTTTTTGTACGAGGGAACTCATATCAACACTACTTGTTGGGGGGTGGTGTGTGAGCACTGACCGAAAACAAGAAAAACACACAATTTGTCTCCAGACACGGGAAGGAAAGCCCCCACTCCTCAACATCAGCGCTCGAAGGTGAAGTCAGAAGGCTATTGTCACACCGTGCAGCTGGAGTGCGTCTTCACTAGCTTGCACCTGTTTTATTCGACATTGATGGTGATAAATAGACTCTTGCTGAGCCTGCATTTTGTGTTTTGATGTAAATGTTTGATGACTGAGTCTGAGAAAATCTGTCCCAAGCTGTGTTTGATTTTTCACTTTGGTGGCCCCAAACTGCCGCCACTGGAGGAGACTTGATTTGTATTTCTGTGTGAAGTAAACAGACATTTTCAACCTACACGATGTGACTCATCTTTCAAGAGCTGCACAAGACATGACCCTCAGCAATGGTAATATCCTGACCATAACAGTCTCGTTTTAATAGCAATGTTCTACTTAAGATTTTCGCCCACAGTCCTGATTGCACTCCTTTGAATATTGGGTTGACCTCCATCAGCAGACACTTTATATTACATTTCCTTTTATACTGTACATGCATTGCCCAATGCATGCATTAAAGTTAATGAGCCAATGTATACACTTTTTAAAACAATTTTAATGTCCATACATTAAAGAAATATAGCCTATAGCTTAGGGTTTCCAATACAAGGTAATAT